CCGCCAACTCACAGGTTAATCCGCATTAATTTTTTTTAATTTTTTCAAATTTGTTAATTATTATAATCATATTATTATATCTTATATCTTATCTAAAACATTAAAGAAAATACCTATATCATTTATTTCGTGTTTTCAAACAAGTATTTGATGGAGAGATAAAAATATCATTATATTTTGTTTATATTATATAAGAAAAATTTTTAAAATAAAAAAATTTAAACAAAAAAAATTAGTTGAAGGGGTTGGCAGGGCAACTCGTCAATCCGCCATAATATGTTAGGTTGGCTAAAATCAAACCTGTTATTATGCGGGCCTTTTCAACCCATGCCGCATAATCTTAACTCATCGTGGATTGGCCTATATTACCATCCTTACACAAGTATATGTAGGTTCTGCCTACGACGATGCCGACGTCCTGTTACAAAGCTGGCACAAATTTAATTTCCTTTGCAGTATGTGTTGAAATCCCGTTCCAAAAATTAATTGTTATTGTGGTTAAGCTAGCTGAAGCTAACCAGTTATTTCAAATAGTAAGGGTAGGTTAGGATGTAAAATGTTGGTAGAAGTCTAGAGTTCCATCCATCCTAATGTGGAAAAAAAAATGTGACTAATTCCGAAATTCTTCCGGCATGTGAGTGTCTGTATTTTATATGTCAACCATAAGCTTCTGCTGAGTGGAGGAAGTGCAGGAAGCTCATAATCAACCACTGGGTATTCTTTTTGCTCATTATCATTTGTTGACAGCAAAATTCTTCGCTTATGCTTTTCAAACTCACAGACTTGTAACAGTCCCTACCAGGCTCACAATGAAGATAGATACCTGACTAAGTCTGGTTGATAAGAAATATCATTATAACCAGAATAAGCAAACTCCAGGAAATCCCAGAAACAAACAGTTCAAAACAGCAACAAGCGATTCATAGTGAAAATTACAATATAAATTGCTTCAATATCGAACAAGAAATCCACTTTCTTTATTAATCAGTCTATTGGCAGCCTCCATAAATGAGTGGCTTGTGTAATAGATTCCACAATATATATTACCCTTCAAGATACATAGGTTTTCTTCAGGAATCGCAAGGAACAAAAAGGAGGAACCTAATGAAGCTGCAGTTGAATCAGACGACTGGAGAGAAAAGAGAAGCTAGAAAAGGTTTGGCACAGAAAAATTTCAGCTGCAACATCGTGTCAAGAGGAAGCTAGCATCCACGTAATAGGGCAAGCAACGTGAAATGCCATATTGAGGGATTTAAATTTGAATTTCCTTTTTTGGCATAGCTCAAAGTGTGCTCAAGTCAGTTTGAGTTTGAAACTATCACATCATTTTAACAAGTGCGCTTTCTGAGATTTGAACTCTGTTCTCCTTGTGAAATAAGTTCGCTTATCATCTTAACTAACAACCTGTTAATATTTAGATTTTGATGTTTAGGGGATCGTCCACCAATTACTTCATCATAATAATTCTTTTAAAAAGCGATAAGAATAAAAATAAAAGTGTCATATGAGCCGGGACGAGGGAATAGCGGCCGCTGGGATAGCCTCAGGGTGAAGGATTAAATAGGAACAAGGATTATGGAAGATAACGATATCAGTCATAATAGGCGAGAAGTATATTCTGTCATGGGCTTTAATGAGCTCAAATCCATAAGCCCAATATTGATGTCAGGCCCATTATCCAAACCAGTGTATACTTTCGGTAGCGGATTTGGAAATTGGATAGATGAAGATTTTTCTGTTCACAGGAAAAAATATCAAGGCCTTATTTGATGGTAAATTTGAAAGATAAATATTTTTATTTTTTATTTCTGCATTTGATGTGTACTATTATTTTTATATTTTTTATTTTTCAAAATTAACAATAGAGATGTCGTTTTATGTCATTTTCTATTTTTAAAATTAAATTATTCTTTTTGACTTATTTCTCTTCATTTTATGTGTTAAATAAGTTGATACTATTTGATTGAATGACTTTAGAGTATATTTTGTTGGAATGAATGAAAAGTAAGGAAGAGTATTGTTGTACCTTAATTTCAAACATAAGTTTAAACAAAAATAAGGAAAATTAACTTTGATGAGTTAGAATTAATTACGAGCAATTTGAACCAAAAATATATTGTTGAACCTAAATTCAAAGTGATTAGGCTCACAAGACCTATCTTGTCACAGTGCTTGGAGAAACGTCTTAGAATGAAGGTACCTAGGTTAACATCTAAAAGTATAATATAGGTTCGCTTTGTCTAACATTAGTACCATCTAACAAAAGTTATTCAAGTGTTTTGCTTTTGGCTTGAATTGAGCCCAAACCCTTGTTTAAAATTTCTATACCAAAAAAAAAAAATCAAAAGCTCAAAGAAAGAATTTTTTAAAACAACTGGTCTTGTGGTCTTATGGATGGGGCCACATAGCTCTTATACTTGGCCATAATTTCTAACAATAACTTGAAGTCGCTATTATGACAATAGTCTGCATTATGACAGTGATAATCCTCTTTAACCATTAATTATAAATCAAACCTAACTGACTTAACTTGAAAAAATAGCAACTCAAATGCAAATGAGAAAATTGCAATAAAGTTAAAAAAACAATAATTATTAGAAAGTCCCAATGATAATTGAGTAGCTTATAATAACAAGTTCTATAACAGGGAATAACAACTTTTAACTTATCATTAGGACATTGTAATAGTTATTTTCTTTTTTGAGGACCTCATTATAATTCTCTCAATGCAAATACTACATATAGATGCCCATAGCAAGCCATATGCTCAAATTTTAATATTACGTGTCCAAGAGTATTGTCAAAATGACACATCCCATAGTTCAAAATGTCACTCTTAATTAGGATCAAAATCAATTGCCATCTCAAGCTATAAGCTCGGCATCACCCACAAGCATACAATTTATAATAAAGTTGACTTTCTATGTACTGAGTACTACCTCTGGTCCTAATTATAAAAGTTAGTTGACTAATTTTAGGGGGTTAAAAAAATAAGTTAAATTAGTTATTTGTAATAAATATGTGTTGTCTTTTTTAAAATATTCTTGGTAATCAAGTGCATTGGCTAGAACGACTATTGTTAGAAAGATTATTTTGGAAAAAATGCATAAATATGATAGACAAAATGAATAGGAATCTTATATTTAGAACTAAAATAAAAGTTAAACAAGATTTTATATTAAGAACAAGAGGTAACATTATCCTTATGTCTATTGCTTCGGAAGGTATTCACATTTGGCATAGATCTGCTTTCACGGAAAGTTTTAGAGATGATTTCATGTTACAATTCCTTCATAGGAAAGACTTCAGGGCATCCTTAGGGAAAATGTATTTAATGTTGTAGTTAACTGAATAGCTCTAAAAGTATGTGTACAAGTTCACATGTACATCACAAAGAATATAAGTCTATTTCACACTAACGATACAACATCAATAAAAGTCAAGCAATAAGGATTTTGTTTCCAAGCCAATACCAATTGAATATCGAGTCTGAAAAGCCTTCCCATTATCAAAGGGGTTACAAAAAGGAAGGCATCCCATGCTAATATCCATCCAAAAGATTCTAATGTTACAAGGTTTAATTTCTGTTCACTTGGCAATGAAATGATATGTGTGCATCAAGCCTACGGCAACAAAATGATCAAAAGGCTTGAACTCCATAAGAACTAATTCTCCTAGCATCTTTACCTGGGGAATGGAAATATGAAAGAGTGGGATACATACCTCACTAACCATCAAGAGAAACTAAACTACACAGACAAGTAAATGATCCATAGGCCTAATATTGTCTCAATTATTAACAATTTAATAGGAGACCAGACACCCACCTCATTTTCGCTACTTTAGAGTACAAAACCCACGACTTCCTGTATAAGAGGAGGTATCGAATTAAGAGGCTCTCTCTCAAAAGTAAATCCAATCAAAATATATATTATATTCAAAATGGTGAGATCCCCAGAATTCACCTATTAGGTTTTGTTTGGGACTTGGTATGTAATTTGATTGACATATTTTACTTTACGTCGTTATCATTTTCACATAAAAATAAGTGATAATTTTTTTTTAAAGAAAAATTATCAAGTAGAAATAATATAAATATAATATACCGGCACTGTAATATCAGATATGATGCTCACGTCACTTGTTAGCCATGACGAAACCCGATGCTCCGATAAAAATGGTTGTCTAAAAAAAAATTGCAAACTTGACCATGATATTATAATTTTCTTTAAAAAAAAAAACAAATTAACGATCATAAAAACATAATAAATACTCCTCCGATCCTTAATATAGGACCTAATTTTTGAGTTAATTTTGGTCCTAAATATAAGACTCATTTCTCATATTTATCAATTTTTTCTAAATTATCCCTATAGATAATCCCTCAACCATAATCAAGTAGAAGAGGGAGAAGAGATATTAAGAAAGATGGTTATAGTGTTTTAGGAAAAATGTGTCACTTTTCTTATAATTAACTAACTTACCTAACTTTCTTAAACTAATCAAATTAGTTAAATAGATCTTATATTAAGGACTAGAAGAGTATTGTGGAAATGAATTGATACTACAAACATTATACCCAAGTTTGAAGAATAAGCCACAAGGTCTACATAATCACTTGCCATATGTTTTAAGGTGAATATACATCTAGTATCCTCAAATATTTTTTAAATTCATTTGGCATATTTTGTAGTGTTTCTAACACCTTAAATTTTTTTAGGTGCATCCAGCATTCTAGAGTATTTTTTAGTTTAAATACTTTAGAATGCTAGAAGTAACACAAAATACTTAAAAATACTGAATGCATTTGGCAAGATACTGAAGACACCTTAACCTTATATTTTTCATTCATATTGATATTATCTTCACCTCCACTTTTCTTTTGCAGTATCAACAAGAGACCAAGTGTTTCCTCGATTTTGTAGAATTGTAGGTTGCCCCTCCTAGTTATTGTTTATCTGAGCATCAATAGATTGATAACTCCAAGATAGATTCTGTTGTAAACTCTAGCGGAAAATAGAGCATGACAGTGTTGAAAAAATATATATCTTAATCAAATAATGCAGTATTTAGGATAAAACTCCTATACTTCTGAGATCTAATGAACAATAATGCTGTGATTATATTTTTGTCAAATGAATCATCAAGCATGATTACACAGGTGGAGGGGGAAGGTCTAGTAAAAGCCAAAAACCCACACAATCTTCTGACTCCAAGTCTTCTTGAATGGCAAGGAAGTGCAAGCCTCCACAAGATTTCTTGGCTGCTTCCCAAGCTTCAGCTTCAGTAGTAGTCACAGAAGTTTTCTTATAGGTTGCATATATGTACCGAGTAGAAATTCCAACAGACAGAATCAGACAAGCACGAGCAGTGTCTACTTCGATCGAACTCACTTCCAAACCATTCATCCAACCTGCGGCAGTACAGGTTGATGATTCTTAAATTGTAACAATTGGATAAGGATTAAGAAATGCAAGCAATGGAGAGAGTGCAAGAAGAAAGTACAAGCTTTTCCAAAATAAAGATTGCCCAAGTTCTCTTGTATTGTACCACAAATGTGAAAAAAACTTGGGATAATAATTGTGTCTTTGGTTTTACAATGAAAACCATTGAAACCATGGTTTACAGTGATCTGATATCATTAGTCTATAAGAAATATTCATGCACAAGTTTGTCTTATCCTAATTCAATGAATTTGAGGCAGCTATTCAATTTTGTAGCTCGAAATTATAATAAAATTATTCACAGGCTTGATAGTTCAATTTCATCCTTGTCGAGTCCCGTTATTTAAATAACAATTAAGTTTCAATTAGACTAGGTATGGTGGCCGGTGCTTTTTCAACATGTTAAGAACAAGGAATGTTTGTGTAAGAGACAAGTGAGAGATATCAACAGTGAAATATAATGTTCTATAATGGTAAGCATTCAATTGACCGTTCGATGGTCGAACCTTTGGAATAACAGAGTTGATCAATGCCATAGTTTCATCCAATTAATTTCTTTGCTAGCAATTTGTTCTTAATTCTTATATGTCAGCTGGCAGAACTGGATCCATAGTATGCAAGAAGAAGAATGTCAAGTCATTGAGGAACTCAATTCAAATATACAGAAAGAAATTTGTATGGTACCTGCTAAAGGCTTAGCACGAGAAGATGCAACAGCCAATCCTGGAATCAATGTCTTGTCGTCAATTTCAATACCCAATAAATCCAGATCCAGCCCGGCTCCGAAAACAAAACTTTTCTCTAGAGATGACACCTCCTCTCGAACAGCTTAAAAATAGTCACTGTAAGTTAGAGAGCAATAGTCTCGGAAGTAATCCAAGTATTCACACATGTCGAATCAAGTAGCTATGAGTCAAATTTAGACTACTGTCCTAGAAGTATGAAGTTTGATGCTGGATGGAGATGAAAAACTAGTATACAGCTTCTCCCTCTGTACCTGAGTAAGGCAACTGGACGAATGCCCATCTTTCCCCAAAAAGGTTTTCTGGAAGCTCCATTGGAAAAGGGTTATCTAGTGCCAGAAGAGGCTTCGATCCCTTTTGAAATCCAGGATGACGCGAATATACAGTTTCATAACGCTCCTCAAGCCATAGAAGTAATGATAGGCACTGAAACAGTTGAGATGAACCGTATAAAATTATTTGCTGGGCTACTTCTGACCAGGATATGATATTTGAACACAGTGTGAGTGACTAAATATCATATGCAATCACATGGCACTGCTGTTTCCTCATCGTACACAAATAAGTGGAAGAATCATTTCAACCTAAAAATCAAGATGCACCATCTTGACCTTGTTAGCAGTTCCAGAAAAGATATAAAGAGAATAGCAATCTTATTCATCCTTAAAGTTGTCATTTTCAACCCAAAAAAGTATGATTCAAGATTCCTCTTGCAACATTTAGAAATCGTGTGCTGTCAAATTCTCATTGCTTCAGGATTAAATTTAAAATGCTTGAAATTATGGAGTCTCCCTCCAGCTAAATATGCGAAACTAACATGGTTATTGAGATAGCTCTTTTTGACGCAACATATAAGATTTCTAACCTAGAACTTAAAAAGTTCGGCTCATCACTAACAGTTATTTGGATTCCATCAAGTATAAATTAGATGGATCGAAATATAAAATTGCTCCTTTACAAAACTATTGTTTATTTTTATCTCTTGTTCTCATTGTTGTTTATACAACACGGAAACCAAGATCAATACCCTGTGCGCGTGAAGCATTTGAGCTGAGAATAGAGTCGAGTCATGAGTGGCATTTTAATATGCTTCAGCTTAGTTGATACTAAATCCAAAGTTTGTTATTGATTTCCCTCGCCATTGGTAAACTACAGACTTGTCTGCATTCTGCATTATTTGACTACAGCATTTAAATGTTTATGCCTATGACTTAAAATTTTTAAGTTTGTTCACAATAGTCAAGTGATTAAATTCAATGCATACTAAAAAAACATCCCTTCACAAATTAATAAAAGTACACAAACATTTCCATGTTCCTAGACATGTGAAATCCAATATCAACACCTTCACGTGAGCGGCAAGTTCAGCTTTTTATTCAAGCTTTAACAGATCATCAGATTTCAGATTGTGTAGGTTTCAAGTTAGATACGGTGCCTATCTATCATCAAATCAAAGTAACTAAATTGAAAAGACATCCAGGTTTTGAGCCTCAGTAATAATAATGAGATCTTACCCACCCGCTTACTAGGAATAGGTGTTATTCCAAGCTCCTTACATGCTTTTGTAATTATTGTTTGCATCTGTGACCTACAAGGCAACAAAACATTGTCGTCAACTTTCCTTACTTAAAGTCTAAAGATTTACCCGTACAAAATGTGTGTGTGTGTGTGTAAATTTGGGTATCATGTGCTTCCAGCAACTGGCGCTCTTAGTTTTTTACTTACCTTAGCTAAGTCTTTGGGGGTCAAACAAGGCATATTTTACAATATATACACAAAGTTACCACGAATTTGCCAAGAAATTTGCAAATTAACATAGAAATACCTGAAGAAGCGGATTTTTTCAGGTAAGGGAGCGCCCAACTCCTCGCAAATAGTAACAATGGCATCCTTCAAAGTGATACTGTTGATAACATTATTTGGAAAATACTTTGTGTACTGCAGAGCCAGCGAATTGTTACACACAAGTAGTTCCCACACCTTCTTGCCTCTAACATCAAGAATGGGTCTAGAGCAAAAGTCCAATTCCCACTCTGTTATACTCTGCGGCTCCGTTTCTGGGTCGAGGTAGCTCAATTCCACAGTCGGGTCGTCTTCTTCTAGGTCATCGAGAACACCTTCTTCTTCCTGGGTGGACAGGGAGCTCTCGGAGACCGAGTTGGGTCGAAAATGGCGCAGTTTTGGGTGGGTTCTAGTGTTATTCGATGGAATAATACATGGGATTCTGGTGGGTTTTGCTGGCGAAGTGAGAATAGAGATGGAATTGCGATGTTTGAAAGTTGAAGTAGTTCTGATTCTGGTGGGGTTGAAGCTCACAGTTGCCATGGCTGCTTCTATCGGTAACTGATGGGAAGAACTAGCGAGACGGGTTGAGGAAGGGGGAGTTATCCTCTACCACATGTTTCCGTTACCGATAACGAGCCAAAGGAATACCGTTTTTGTTGTTACTAAAATCTTGCTCGGCTTTAAAGATAAGTTTGGATAGAAACCAAACCATAGTTTCAGAAGTGTTTTTACAGATTACGAAGTAAATATGTAGGGAGATTATCTCGTTTTGCAAAAAAGTACTTCTGAAATCACAGTTTTGAAATATCCAAACAGACCCTAAGTAAAACCGAAACATGGTTTGTAAAATTTGAGGTTCGAAAGTCAAACCAAGCTACTAAAAATCAAATCGAGCGACGAACAAGCTCAGGCACTAATTTAAGGGGTGTTGTAGCAAGCAAATTCATAATTTGGGATACAAAAGCCTAGTTTGAAAATCCAACCATTTAAACATACTATTTTTTTTTTTCCAAAGTCGCTTTTTCATTTAAAATTATGATTTTAAAAAAAAAAAGCCCAACACCATAATTTCATGCAAAATCACTTTTGAATTGAAAATTATGGTTTGGGGTATAAACAACCATCCAAACATTTTACTTTATCAAAATTATTTTTTATGAAATTTATTTTTAAAATCTGTTTTTCTAAAATCTATCTACAAAACTTATTAAAATTTATTTTTCAGAAATTATTTTTCAAACTATAATTTGGTTTCACCCAAATACCCCTAAAGATAGATTAAGTAAGTAATAATAAAAAAATATAACAATTGTTATAAAAAAAAAAACGTGTTTGCAGCAATTTTATTGTAGCAGTTGAAAAAACCGTTCCAATTTATTTTGTAGCTGTTTTCGGGTAATTAATATAAATAATTTGAAAAATAATAATAAATTTGAAAGACAAATTAGATCAATGTTTTATATTTTGAATTAAAAATACATTTAATTAGCTCTTATATTTAAAATTGGAGGAATGATTTTTATTAATCAAAATTACCATTTTCATTTTATCCTCTTTATTTTTGTGCCTTATTAATAGGAAATATGTGTTCCACGCATATCCCATACCTTTCCAAACCTGTCATGTAGCCGTTGTGTATTAGCCACCACAAGCACATGGTAAAGGAAGTCAATGTGCAAATTCATGAGTGGATCCACAAGGGCCATAAGTTGGCAAAAGTGACAAAGAAGATGTAAGTAAAATGACATATAAGGATCCTAACCAAGTTAAAATGACAAGAAGAAAAATAACCCTTGAGAGACTTTCTTTAGAAACTAAGAGACTTAGTCCTTCATTATTCTTAATTTATTTTGCATGTTCTTTCATAATTGTCTCTTCTACTATTTTATAATTAAATTTAATTAAAAAAATCATACTAGTAGGGATGGATTGAATAGAAGGGACTAATCATTTATAACATGAACAACCAAATTTTGAATCCTTCACATTTATAAAAATATTTAATGAAAAATAAACTAGAAAAAATTTAATTATAAAATTTTAAAATTCAGGATAATTAATGTGTTTATATGTTTCTTAAAGGTAAATTACATGTAATATCCTAATCTTATTTTTCAATGCATCTACCATTCCAATCTTTTTTTTTTTTTTTTTATCAAGCACCCTAAAAATTGAGGTACTAGATGTAACTAAAAAAAAACAGGCAGGATCCTATACACCGAGAAAATAAGATTGGAGTACTAAATACACCATACAAAAGCTCACGATGGAGACTGGCAACCTTTTAGACTTAGCAAGAAAGGTACTCCTGTATCTCATTTATTTTTTGCTGATGATTTAATTCTGTTTGCAAGAGCAGACATGGAGCAAGCAGGAGTCATTAAGGCCATTCTTGATGATTTTTGTGAGACCTCTGGACAAAAAGTTAATGCGGCTAAATCTAGGATTTTTTTCTCCAAGAACGTCAACCATACACGGCGCACGGAGATCAGTGACTTTCTGAACTTTTCACCTTCATCTGATCTAGGAAAATATCTGGGTATGCCCATTCTACACAAAAAGGTATCTACAGCAACTTATAAATTCATCCTTGACAAGATGGATGCTCGGTTATCGAGCTGGAAGGCCAATACGCTATCTCTAGCGGGGAGACATACGTTAGTATCGTCGGTGGTAGCCACTATTTCCACCTATGCGATGCAAACAACTCCCCTGCCAAGCGCTACTTGCACAGCAATTGACAAACGTTGCAGAAAGTTCCTATGGGGCTCCAATACTACAGCACGGAAAATTCACCTTGTGTCTTGGGACACCATTTGCAACAGAAAGGAAGATGGTGGACTGGGTTTAAAGCAAGCAAAATTAACGAATAGAGCGTATATGATGAAGTTGGGGTGGGGACTGTTATCTCGTAAAGATTCGCTTTGGGTGAAGTTCCTAAAGGAGAAATACAAGACTGGAAATGATCTAATTCCCAACGTAGAAAAACGTAGGGTGGAGTCAAGAACGTGGAAGGGCATTCGGTCTTGCTGGCAAGAAGTTAAAAATGGACTGGCTTGGAGGGTGATGAATGGTCGTCGCATTCTCTTTTGGAAGGACCTCTGGTTACCCCATTTCGATGCCCTTGAAGGCTATGCTGTAGATACTCTCCCGCAAGAGGCTCTAACCTGGAAGGTGAGTGACTGCGTTACGGCTTCAGGGACCTGGGATTGGCCGAAGTTTGCCCATTTTTTGCCTCAGAATGTCCTTCAGGCTATACATGGTGTGCACGTTACCTCCGCTGGACGTGATGACTACCCCGTATGGCGCTGGTCTTCCTCTGGGGCTTTTTCTTTGAAGACAGCCTATAACCAAATTGCTGGGAGGAAGGTCACCATTAACAACACCCTCTGCAAACATATATGGAAGCTACGTGTTCCACAAAGGTGCCGAGTCTTCCTGTGGTTATGCGCCCAGGGAAGGTTGTTCACTAATCTGTTAAGATCCAAGCTAGGACTACATCCCACTGGGGAATGCGACTTGTGCGAAGGCAAGCAGGAGACTGTTTTACATGTTCTTCGTGATTGTCAACAGAGCATGCAAGTCTGGCAAGCTATCTTGCCTCATGAATGGAGAAGTAAATTCTTCGCTGGTTCTGATCTTTCTGCGTGGCTTACGTGGTGCACTTGTAGATACTTCCAAGTTCACGGGTATGACTTCAGGCTCTGGTTTCCTATAGTTTGTCGGAACTTATGGCTGAGTAGGAATGGTCGAATCTTCAGTAATTTATGTTGGAGTGTCGAGACTCTTATTGCACGAACCCAGGCTTGCCTGTCTTGGGGCAACCAGAACCCGCTACAGCAACGATCAGGGATGTATTTGCAGCCCATCTGGAAACCACCACCTCTAGATATGGTGAAGATTAACGTGGATGGTTCTCGTCACTTAGACTCTAGCCTTTGCACCTGTGGGGGCGTCTTCCGTGACCATAATGGCACTTTTGTGAAAGGTTTCATGTATAAGGTTGGTCGGGGCTCAGTCATCACAGCGGAGGCTTGGGGTCTTTTGTGGGCTCTGAAGCTTGCATGGGACAGCAACTTGCGTCACTTGATCGTTGAGTGTGACTGCACTGAGCTAGTATCCCTTGTTCATTCTCATATTCCCTCAGAACACCCGGACCACAGCGTCCTGACTGAAATCCAACAGATGATGGGTCGAAACTGGGAGGTTGAAGTGGCTGTTTGTCCGCGAGACTCGAACACGGTAGCAGATGCTTTAGCTACACAAGCACGCCATATGGGGGTTGATTTTGCTACGTTTTGTAGTCCCCCTGATCCCATACGAGACATTCTTCAGCGAGAAGCTATCCAGGGTCAGGCTTTAGTGGGTGCTGATATGTAGTAGTTCTTTTCCTTTTTCCATCAAAAAAAAAAAAAAAATCAGACTGCTAGATAGACTTGTCCTTTTGGTTTTTGCCTTTTTTTTTTTTTTTAAGTTTTCTGGCCTGAACTTTTACCCTTTCTTAAATGTCATTTTTCCAAAGTAAGAGAACTGAAGAGAGAGCCAAGGACTCGTGTGTCATTTAGTCCATCCCCATTCCCGCTGATAAGGCAAACATAAAAACTTGGCCTTCGCTTGGCGGCTCAGCTCCGACATTCTGTGAACGCCGAGATCCGGCGCGAAGGCCGAGGAAGAATCGGACTCTTGTCGCTGTTCTCTTTATCCAAGTAAATTTTAAAATGCTCTTTGATATAATCTCATGCGAAGAGTTTCTGTAAATTTTTTGCCTGCTTGTTTACTGTTTGATAAAATGCCTCGAGTACTTCCTTTCTCGAAGCGGGAAAAAATATGTTCATGGTTTATAACTGGTTCTGCAAGTTTGAAACTTGTTACAGTACTGGTAATTGAATCTTCGGTTTTGTCGCCATAATTGGAGTCTGCAAGCATTTTTCTTAAAATTCATTTTGTAATTGGTGTGTAATATTTTATGCTGTTACAACTTTACATGTAATCTCCCTTAAGTTCATGCAGTTGGGATTTTGTGATGTAAATTTTTTTTCCCATATACTTGCATGGTCACGCCAATTGTTATATTACAGTGTAAGAAATGGTTTTATTTGATGGATAGGTGCCTGAAGGAGCAGACTATGGTTTGCTAAAAGGAATGATGAAGTTTGCAGGATATTCCCTGGCAGTTTCATCTACTCCTATAGGTTCTAATATCATTAAAAACCGTTGCAGATTGTCAGTAGGTACATCTCGTTGGAAATTCCACAGTTCAAGGTTCTTTTCTGCTAATACACAGAACGAACAGTCACATGGTAAATCCATGATGGTTGCCAAATACTACCTTCCTCCTTGGTTTAGGTGTGTATGTGTGCTTCTGTTTTGTCTTTTCTCCATCTGCATGAGCTAATTTGTTGATTTTATCTACCTGCTCTGGTCTTGTTTTTGGTTGCTTGTATTCCAGTGTTGCCCCAATGATGGACTGGACAGACCATCACTATAGGACTCTTGCACGCCTCATATCAAAACGTGCTTGGTTGTACACGGAAATGCTTGCAGCTGAAACAATTGTTTATCAGAACGGCAACCTGGTAAACTTTTTAATAGCCGTGTAATTATTCATACTTAAAACAAAACCATAA